ATCAAATTTTGTTGCAAAACAGTTTATAGATTAATTTTCATCGGACTGCTAACTGAAGACTGCTAACTGAGGACTGCTAACTGAGAACTGGGTCTCCAAACTTTTTATATATCATCTTAGTCATCTTATCTAAAGTCATCTTATCTAAAGTCATTTTTTGTCTAAAGTCATTGTTCATCTAAAGTCAATTATCTTATCTAAAGTCATTTTTCATCTTATCAAAAGTCAATTATCTTATCTAAATTCATCTTATCTAAAGTCATTTTTCATCTAAAGTCTTTATTCATCTAAAGTTAATTATCTTATTTAAAGTCATTTTTCATCTGAAGTCATTTTTCATCTAAAGTCAATTATCTTAGTCAATATAAAATATTTGGTTTTCTCACAGTTTTTCTGTTTTAAGAGAAATATATATTTTTTCATTTTTTATGTAGGCATCTTTTTAATTTTTTTTTTGCATTTTTATGCATTTTGACATTAGTTTATATCTTAGAAAATGCTGAAATTTTTACACTATAGATAAGCCAAGTCAAACCACACTTTAAAAAGATTTATAGATAAATCAATTTTTGGTCTACAAAAAAAAATAGTACATGTACCAATAAAATAGTTGTAAAAAAGATTGTTGGTATTACATAATAGAACACTCATTTGTAACCATTTGAAAATAGTGACTGAATATCATAGTAGTCAGAAACATTTTGAGGTATAAGTAGCAAAAAAATAAAATAAAATATAAGATTAACATATATTTTTAACCAGTTTACCAATCAGACTGAAATTTTATTCAGAGTTTAGTGTGGCTACATTTACACAAGTTTATCAAACTATATAGAATAGTTCTCATTCTACAGTTGTTTTTGATGGCACACTATAAATTCAAAATTTTACCCAATTAAAACATTCAAATTTAAATTTTGTTGACATCCATGATAATTATGATGAGGCATTATTAGCTTGTTTTTAAAGTATTATTTTAAAGGTGAGTTTCATGAGACCTAAAATGATTTTTTGTTGCTGGTCCAGCCCTTTATTGCAGAAATTATTTTTATAACACCTTGATTGGATTGCGTGCTCAAGGTGAGGCCGAACATAGGAGATGTAAAGATCTTTCCACAGTGATAAACTTCGGCACCAAAAAATTTTTTTTAGCCTCCCTAAGGATCAGTATGGTTCGCTGCAGATGTTCGACTTTTTACTTCCTTATTAGAAATTCATTAAACTATAATTGTTTTTTTATTTATTTTTATTGTAATTTATTTTTAACAGTTTTATTATAGTATTATTTTACCTGTAATAATGATCTATTCCATTTATTCTATCTACATTTATTTATGTTTTATACAAAATTAATTGTGTCAATATCATTAATTCCCATATATACAGTTCGAGTTATCTGAAGAAATTTACTGAAAGGGGGCGAAAAAATTGTTTGAAAAAGAGGTTTAACTAAGCCGGAAAATTTTAATAGCAATTGATTAGATGATTTTAAGAAACCAAATGAAACAAGATAATAAAAGTTTGTGTTAACCGGTTTTTGACTGGGAATTAACTGTTTTTTTTGTTACTTGTATACATTTATATATATATATATATATATATATATATATATATATATATATATATATATATATATATATATATATATATATATATATACACAATACTATTACAAAAATATTATATATAATACCAAATGCTTATTTGTTTCATTTCTTTTTATATTAAATAACAAAATTTGATTAACATAAAATAAAAAAAATTTCACGTAAAATATTGTTTTTCTCGACCAGGGCCGGCGCGAGTAGGTATCACATGGAGGGGTGCCATTACAACTTTTGCCGACTTAAGAAAAAAAAAAGTCCTTGTTTTTTAAAATTTGGTGACTGCCCTCCGACTGCCATAACAACATTTGCTAACTGACTGTCTAAATTTATCGACTCGTGCCGGCCTTGTTAATTTATTTACCTTTATTTATTAAAAGTTTATTATTTTATTATCGATTTTGTTTTGATACATGATATATATGATATAATTTTAACAAACACTGTTTGTTAAAATTATATCATATATATCATGTATCAAAAAATAATTGCTGCGCTCTACTTGCGCTATAAAAATAGTTTAACTTACATTTAGCCTCAAAAAAATAGTTTAACTTACGTTTAGCCTCTGAACACATTTATTTAATATTTAATTTTGAGTAAAAAAAAATGTTTAGAAAAGAAAACCAAAATAACAAATGCGAGCTAATTTTTTTTTAAGAATATATAAAATTTAAATATTTAACAATATTTAGTATTATCTTTAAAAAAATTTAACAGTTAAGTTAAACCCAAGCATTAACTTTAATTTTATATATTTAAATCGAATTAAAATTATATACTTTTGTTAAACTAGTTTTGAATTAAATCATTAATTTTTTTATCAGAATTAAATTACATTATATTGATCTTTGCTTCAAGCTTAAAGTATTAGCGTTTTTCAAGCGAAAAAATGATCATTGCAATAAAAAAAAAAAATTAAGTTTTTTTTTTTTTTTTTTTTTTTAAACATCTTTGCTTCCAACAAGGCTGCAAACAACCACTAATTAGTGTTAAAAGTTACTGGAAGAGAAAAGATGAAGATTGTAGAGCAAGATAACTATTGACAGACGACTTAAAAGATTGCAAATTATATGAATCAGGAAAGCAAAATGAAGGAAGCGAATTCCAAAGAACTGATGTTCGAGGGAAAAAAAACTAGACAAATAAGAGTTTTTGGAGCAAAAAAAAAGGATGAGACTTAGTTGAATGACGAGTAACACGAGAATGAATTTTAGTAGATGGCACAAGAGACGCTAGCTCTTTAGAGCAGTGCCCATTATAGTATTTGTAGAAAAGAGAAAGAGAAGCAACATTACGACGATGTGACAGAGGTTGAAGGTTGGCTGCAAGAGCAGGTCCAACTATGTTTACAATGCGTTTTTGCACCTTGTCTAAAAGAGAAAGGGCATTATTAAAAGATCTGCCCCAGATATGGCAACAGTATTCCATACAAGGCCGGATTTGAGATTTATAGAGATAGAGAATAGAATCCAGAGTAAGAAATGACGAGCTCTATAAAGAGAAGCAACTTTAGCAGATGCTAATTTTGCAACAGATTTGATATAAGGTTTTCAAGAAAGATCAGAAGTAAGAGTTAATCCTAGAAGATGAAGGGTAGAAGACTCATCGAGTACATTACCGCTCATAAATATAGGAAGGTATAAATTATTGCGATAACGATTATCTGAAAAAAATTGAGTTTTATCTGAATTAAAGTTCACCAGCCACTGTGAGCCCCATGCTGTAGCAGAAGTAAGATCCTTTTCAAGCTCAGATGCCCCCTGCAAGCAATCAGAGAGAAGTATAAATTAGTATATAGAAACTTAGATCAATTTTTTTTAATTCAATCAAAAGTTGTTTATTACTAAATATTACTGTCCTTTCAAGATGATAAATAAAAGTTTTTATTATATATATTTTTTTTGTGGTTTTTTTGTTTTTAATAACTTCGCATTAAAAAAAAACTATAAACGTTAACTATAAACAATTTTGTTTTCTGTTTCTTCAAATTACAAAGCATTAGTCCTATGTTAGGTAATAGCTTAATGGTGCCCGTTGAAATGTTAAGTTAATTAAGCTATTACTTAATTAACTTAACATTTCAACGGTGCCCAATCTATATCTATATCTATATCTATATATATATATATATATATATATATATATATATATATATATATATATATATATATATATATATATATATATATATATATATATATATATATCTATATCTATATCTATATCTATATATATCTGTATCTATATCTATATATGTCTATATCTATATCTATATATATATATATATATATATATATATATATATATATATATATATATATATATATATATATATATATATATATATATATATATATATATATATATATATATATATATATATATATATATATATATATATATATATATATATATATACAGAGAAATTATTCATTTTCTCTATGAATTAATTTTTTATTCAAAACTTGTAAAAATGTACTTTTATTTTCGGTTAAAAAACTATAGCTCTTATTTAATTAAATCTAAAAGAATAGTTGTATTATTAAATGATTATTTAATTGAAATTTTTTTACAATTTCACTACTTTGAAAATTCAACATGATACTTTTGAATTATTTTTTTTTTCAAAATAATAGGGAACCCTTAAAAAGTAAAGTTAATTATGCTCTCCCTAAAACACATTATTGTGAACTAATGTCATTCTTTGTGTATAGACAATTCATAAATAAAACTAGTTTGTTTATCAAATCCACAAAAAGCATTTGTTTTTAGTAAGGAATTGTTTTTATTTATTATGATATATGGTAAGGTTTTGTATTTTACATACAACGTGCATGTTTTTAATGATTTTAGTGGAATTGGCTGGACTTTCCCCTGGAATAATGTCTTTATTTTTTATGTTGTTGATGTTGTTTTGTAAAAATTTAGTTTAAATTTATGCCGGATTTGCTAACATTTTGCAGGAGCCAGATTTTGGCCAAATTTGTAAAAATAGCCGGATTTCAGCCGGAGCAGGAACCGGAGCCGAAGTTCGGTACAAACCTAGTATAAAATTTAATTAATAAATATTGTTAAAATAGTAATGTTAACTTAAAAGAAAATTAATGATTCTGTTAATCCTATAAATATGGGTTAAAGTTACCATAAAAATCTTGGGTAAAGTGTGACATCAAATTGAAAAAGAAAGATCCAGCCTAGATAACATTGTGTTCTATTTAGTTATGTTAAAAATGATCACGTAATGTTGTTTTTAACTTACTGAAACATTAGTCATAGGTGCAACAAATATTTTACTTTAACTAGTTTTCAGACAGCTATATTGACAAATAGTTATTTACTTTATACTTAAATAGTTATTACTAGTTTTCAGACAAATTATTATTATTTTTTTAGGTTATTACAGATTTCTTGTGCTGTTTTTTAATTGCATGCTTACATTTGGGTCCTATTTCTGCTTTGATATGCCAAGGTTTAATTTTAAATTTTTGTTTTTCCTTTGAATAACTATGTAAGTTAAAAATGATAAAATATTAAATTTTGTGTATGTTATTTTAGTGTGTTACAAGACAGCTTTACAGGGGTATGTTTTTATTTATTAGTATTTTTTTTTTTTATTATTAGTGGTAAAACTATTACTAATAAAAAAGGTAATAGTTTATGTTAATTGTAAAATTCAAATTAAGGATGTTCACACATGATCAACATTGCTGATCATGTGTGAACACTAAATTGTGATCATGTGTGAACACAACATTGTTGATCATGCAACAATCCTGCTACATTTTTTGAAGTGGCTAAAAAAGTTCTCTTTATTTTATTGATTTTATTTTTTTTTAGTTTAATAAAATGTAAAACTAAAAAATTAAATTCTTAGTAAAAAAAGTAAAAAAGTATTTGATTTAATTTTGGAAATTTTAAATACCAGGTCCAAGTCCAGGTACTTGGCACTGGGTCCATTTTAAAAAGTTGGTGTAAAAGCTGTAAAGTTCTCTAATGCTGAATTGTTTTCACAAAATAATGCTGATTAATTTGCGCAAATTAAGTTTGCCTAAATATTTTTTAATAAACAACTTTATTTACATTTGAGGTCACAAGTTCAAAATTATGCAAACTGTAATGTTAACTTTAGAGTAGGGGAGAGTGGGGTTGGCTGTCATCCAACCCGCTCTCCTCTATATTATTCATTTTTAAATTAAAAAAAAGGCATTTTCACAGTCGTTTCCATCTTTTTTTAGCGCGCAAAAAAAAAGCTATTTGTTTATATGTGTTTTTGATATTTAAAGTTGAATTTCACATACATCATATACATATGAAAATTATTTTATTGTGTTTTGAATGTACATTTATAAAGTTTTTTATTTATTGTCACATTTGTATTTGTATTGTATTTAATGAAAAAAGTTATTAAATTTGTGTATTTGGAAAATGCCTATATTTGTATTTGAACTTGTATTTGGGAATCTAGAATGAATGTGTTTGTTTTTGTATTTGAAATGTATTTGATCCCAACCCTTTACAGTAGGCTCTCTTAATAATAATAAAAAATGAAGTCTACATATTTAGTTTAAGTCTTTTCTCTATAAATGTGGTGATGTTGCTGTTCAGACTTAATTAACAGAAAATGTAGTTAATATAAATATTTTGTTTGACCCCTCACAGGTTTCAAAAACTAGGATTGCTTCGCTTGTATTTTTGGACTAGAGCTCTAATATTTTGTAGAAATTGAAACCAAAGTTGCACTTGGAGTATGTTGTGACTAATGTCGAAGTTTTAAGTTTTCTAAACAAAGTTTTGAAATCAAAAATATTTTTTACATGTTTTAAAATATGGTTATTCTTTTTGAAATTTTTATAAAATTTTGAGTACCAAGTTGATACAGTTTAAAAAAATAATTTTTGGATAATACTAGGGACCTGTTAAATAATCAAGGATCAGTTTGGACCCCTATTATTATTATTATTATTATTTTTTGACTGCAATAAGTGAAAGGTTCTATTTTGCTAATGCATGATAGCATCATTCAGTTATAGCAGTCAAGCAGTTAGCAAGTAAGCTGTAGAACAAGAAGATCAAAAAATTAATTTCTATTAATTTGTCATTAATTATCAGAAAGTTATTAGACTCAAGATAGATAAGACTTAAAAATTTGTTAATTAAATATTTAAAGACCTTCCTTATAATAGAAAAAAGACTGATTGGACAATAGTTAAAGCTGTGAAAGTAAGGTGACCAATGTTCTTCTATTTTTGAAGGGGAGCTCCAAAAAAATCTAAACTTTAATTATGTTTGGCATTGCACTCTCCTTCGTAAAAAGGAGGACGTTGGTCAGCTTGGTGAAAGGGAATTTTGTTGGCCACAGAAAGGTTTAATTGGAAGATGACTTTAGCAATGAAAGCTGGAATGATTTGGATGTCTAACAATGGGTTATTCTGTTTACATGGATTTCTTGCAATAATCAAAAAGTGTTTGTTGTGAAAAAAATTAAAAATATAAAAGCTATGGAGTAGAATGAGGCTTGACTTGGAACCAGCAAAAAAAAAATAAAATCTTCTATACCTGCCTTGATACTGAAGGTTATGTTTGTGACATATGGACTGTCTTGAAGAAAATATGAAAAGATTTCCAGTCAGCTTTAGGGTAGAAGTAAATAGTGAAATGGTATGG